ATATAGTAATAGTAATAGTACAATACAACGGCGAAATAAAACTACTGAAAACATCAACCTCCGTTAAGAATGTTGCTTGTTTCACAAACCTGCAGTACGCATTAGCAAACCCGTTTCCATCTACATCAGCCCAAGCGGTCATAAAACCATGTCTGAATCCTAAACCTGAACTTTCGATCAGATCGTAATTTCGAGGCACAACTGCAATGAAATTGAGATAACTTAACAGAAATTAAATGGGGCTATCTTAAAAACTAGCAATTGATTCATTATTAAATTATTTCTATAGCAGACGTCAGAGTGTTGAAAACACTATAGTGATGATCACAGCCAACTATAGAATGGCATGTTACAGTATCTCGATTTTTGTTACGTTGACTTCATTAACTTTGTAAATATGTTATTATTTTGACTACATGAATACTGTAAATAAGTGAATAAACGAACGAACGAATAAACATAATGATTGAACATACAAGTGAGTGAGCAGACGAACGAACGAACGAACAATTGAACGAACGATTGAAAGAATGGAGGACAGATCTTTGGATGAATGAATACTTATATTTAATTTGCATAAAATAGGCCTAAAAATCAGGGATGACTTTTCATGGCATATGAATTTGGCCATATCCGTGATTATAGAAATAGAATAACAAAAGGTTTATTTAGCTTCTTCCATGTTTTACGTAGTTAGACCATGCGAACAAAATATTACAACTCCCAGGTTAAGGTAGGACACCCATGTACATGGAGAGAGACCGCTCCTGCTTAGTACTACACCACTGGTCAAGTCTAGCTCTTGCCTCTAACTAGCTGATTCATAGTACTATAAATATAATGCCATATCATCTTTTCTCGACAACCTAAAGCTATATCACGCCCGTCTTTCAAATTGCAAACGTAGCAGCATGAACCACAATGTCGATCGTAAGCATCCTAAAAGAAAAACGTCCTAAAAGAAATCACACAAGGGCTTTGATCATCGCTGTGTGAAAATGTGATGACGCCAGGGTTATAACAAATTAATATTCTTTGGTTTATAGTAATATTGTTATGACGTCACTAAAAGAAGCCACGCCTCCCTCGGTATTTAGCAACTACTTTTTATTATTACTTGAATACTGGCCAAGAAAATTCGTATAGGCTTCCTGTAGACCGAATCATTGCGTCCAAGTTTTATTATTCTTATAAAACTTTTAAGAATTGCCTTAAAATGTTAAACCTGATGTACCGTACCTGAATCACCGGTGCAGGCAATAGTTTGAAGTAATACCTCGTTGGTAGTAAATAACCCGGTTACCTCGTTGGTAGTAAATGACTCGGATGTCTTTGTTGTAGCCTCTGCAGTTGTTGGTTCAAACGCATATGTAGCAGTATACCCACCCGCAGTTTCTATGCCATCTGAATGAAATGCTAGCAATAATTTGCCATCTTCTTTAACAATGGTTTCCGGTTTGTTAGTTCCACAAAACCTAAAAAAAAAAGACATGTTATAGTTTGCGCCCTGTCGCAAGATTCCTGAAGATGACTCAATAAAGGTCGAAACGTTGAATCATTGCCATCCCCTCTTTGTTCGGAGTAACGTTCGTTCTATGTTATTTAAACATAATCGGTGCATCTGTTGATATTTCATTGTATTGCTTATATATATGTTATGGAAATAATAGTTTATGAAATTGATATAAAGAGATATAGAGATATAGTTACAGAACTATAAAGATAATTAATTATAAGATAGCACAATTTAATTTTCTTAAAATGTTTATCTCTCATAAGTATGCGTAAATTCCAGCGTTCTCTCTTAAAAAATTAACATAAATTCAATGTGAAATCTAGTATAGAAATGATGGTAAAGCTGTATCCTTAGAGCAAACTAATATTAAATAATAATAATAATCTATTGACAGCATTTATATCGGCGGTATTCAACAATAGATATTCAAATGTCGAAGGGTGCACTACTTTTTAACTCATTTGATACGAAAAGACGATGTGAAAAGCAGGTAAAGGAGATAACTTACTTATTACCGGAATAGTAAAAGTTATCGGTACGTATGTCCACGTAGTCCCAATTACAAGAAGAATGGGGCTCCAAATCAAAGACGTTGAAGGTAACCGTGAGTTTACTGGTGCCCTGATTGATTGAATGAATATAATGATTTATCAACACTTGCGGTTTAGGTATTATAATATATACACAAATCACCTTTTCAAAGAAACAATGAATGTTTGCAGAAACAACAGTGTATGCATATACGTTTTAAGTCAAGGAATTCAGTAAACTAACTTTTAATCACCTAAATTAGGCCGACAATAAATTAACCATTCCGCTAAGCCAAATCTCTTGGATACCGTCTGATCTACAAAACGAGAGCGTAAACGCATCGTCGTACAAACACGTGTATGTGCATGTGTGTGTGGGTGTGTACGTATGTGGATGTGTATGTGAGACAAGTGCGTATTCCTGGTCTTGGTCAGTTGTTAAGTTTGACCATAGAGAAAATATTTTCTCTATGGTTTGACACACACAATATAAATATAATTCTAAATTAAAATTCCAACCGATTTGGAGAATAATTTTATAAACATTTATTAAGAAGTTCAGTTTTTATTAAAACCACATCTATAAACTATATTTGTATTCAGCTTTTTATCATTAAATTTGTTAACCATATCTCTTGGCTGATACTAATCAACTCACGTTATTTAAATAAATTATTTATTTATACCTTGAAATAGATGTTACAATCTAAGTTGTTGCTATAGTTTTCAGGATAGTTGGGTGATGAAATGCTTCCAGAACTACTTTCAGATTCGTCTATTGTCATCGAACAGGAGTCTAATAATAATAATAATAATAATAATAATAATAATAATAATAATAATAATTGACACACAGGAAGTTTATTCATACTCAGGTGCTAAGTACAAAATGCTGTAACTCTAGAGCTCTAGCATTACCAGTAAATTAACAAGAAAAGTGACATTCATCATCTGCATCATCATCATCATCACCACCATCATCATCACGATCATCACCAACATCATTATCTTCATTATCCCCATCATCCCCATCATTATCATAATCATCATCATCGTCGTCATCATCATCATCATTATTTCTCGATGCAAAACCCCAATATGTATTGTAATGGCAAGCATTTCTGACAGTACCGCTCCTTTTCCATAACATACAAAGCGCTTTTTTTTAATTATCCACATTCAGACAAGATCAAATAATATAATAACAAGTTAAGATGGATAAAGTTCTGAAAAGAGGATTGCTTAAAACACCCTGTAAAGATACTGTACATCAAATAATTATAATTTCAAACATAATAAACGCCACACTTTAATAAACGCTAATACACAAATCGAGTGTTTGTGGAGCATGCGCGCCTTCCTGGCCTTGTTTTTTCATTGGTTTGAGTGACACTTCTATTAGGATCCTGAATGAGTCTACATTACCCGGAGTCTCCTCTGTTTGGCACAAAGTTCCTGAAAAGTTTGGTGGGCACAGACAGTTGCACCCGTTGGTCGATCTCCTGTAACCTCCATTCTTACAGGGTGTACCAGTGCAGTCAACTGCAGTTAAAAAAGAGTGTTCTTAGTATTTATAAAAATAGTATAGTGACCAATAAATGCTATTTATTTTAGCCTTTACTTTGTTGGAAGAATTTACAAAATATTTAATTGAGTATGAATATCTGTCTTGTAAGCCTACGCCCAACTGACAGACACTCCTCCTATTGTCGTAGCCTTGTACGCTTTAAAACATCTAAATGTAATTAAACGATTGAGTTCCAAATCATATTCATAATTTGATGGAGATGGAAGCTAACAGAAAGAAATCTTCCCTGAAGTATCACACTGTAGATTGTCGCTTCTGGTGGTGGTGGCTCTATGCAGACTATCCTTTCTTTGACAAAAAACTGCTGTATGCCCATATAGTCATGGTGTGCCTATATATGGTCATGATGTGATGTCATTATAACTATATTTAGGCATGTCACATCGTGTCTTTATTTGTCGCATGATAGTTAAGGAATTGGCCTATAGTTTGATGGTCCTTATGATTGCTGTATACAAAGAAACAAATTTGAGCTTCTTGCTTTCGTGAAATATATTTTTTTTAAATCCAGAATTTCATTACATACATGAGTGCCAATGCAGCTTATATCCCGGATTCGAATCTTGGTGGGTGATTTTTTAACACTAGCAGATTCCTCATTCTTACTATTTACAATTTATAATAATCCACATTATATAACTTATTATTTATTGTTATTTTATATACCGGTATATATAGGCCTGTTTACATTTACTATCATTATTAATATTATTATCTCGTATGTTGAAATATATTGTTTAAAACTGGCAGTTGGAAATGTATGCCACCAACTGAGGTTTGTCAACTACCTTTTTTTTTCTATATAAGCAACTTAAAGTAATATACTTACCATCACATTCATACATAAGATTTGCCAAATGAATATCTTGAAACGATAGCCCAGACCTTTCTCCAATCACATCTTGCAGAATAGGGTCTACAGTCACGATTGTTGGAAGACCGTTTTTCGTGAAGAACTGAAAAATAATGTTTGTGACGTACAATCTCTTTTCTTTAAAAATGATCATTTAATAATACAGATAGGCCTATGTCAGATTTTTGTACAAATCGTATTTTGTAAACAATCTATCCTGTTCCGTGCTTGAAAAAGGCCATAAAGTCATGTCATGATATTTCTACTAAAGAATTGTTATGTGTGTGTGATATTGAATGCAAAATAAATCAAATCAAAAAAATCAAAATCAAATCAAAATATAGACCAATATGAAGCTATTGTTTTAGGCAGGGACGTAGCCAGGATTTTTAAAGGAGGAGCAGTTATGTGAGGTACCTAGTACAAAGCGAAGGGTGGGGTGTTATCCTTCCTACGGCTGAGGGACGCCAAGGGCTTCAGGGGGCAGGGGCGAGGCCCCCTTGGAGGTAGCACACGCTGGACGTTTAAGGACTGCTTTGAGATGACAAAGTAAAAATTGCAATAGACGCATCATAAATAATATTAGTAAGCCTAACAATAATTGTAATGACTCAATAGTGGCGGATCCAGGAATTCGAAAGAGAGAAGGGAATTTCACTTACAGAGGGTCTACCGACCTGAGCCCTACCATGGTTGGGGCTGAGGTAAGATAATTTATGATCATGGCACCTCTAGATGGCTGGAAATTACACTCATGCAAAATTAATGATAATTATAATAATGATAATAATAATGATGATGATGATAAAAATAATAATAATAATAGTAATAATAATAATAATAATAATATATTTTTTTATTCGTACTAACCAAAAGCAATAAAAAAAGCAATCGCCACCAACAGGTTAAAATACATATAAAATATTTATGCAAATAGATATAATAAATACATTAAAAGTACTAACAACTTTTGATTTAAAAACATTTAAACTATAAAAAAAAAATCAATATCAATATTAGACATAAAAAACTAATTATAACAATTACATAAACCTTTAAATAAACCTGTATAGATGTAACATCAACACGACAATAATAAACAATAATAATTATAATTATAATTAATAATAAATTATATTAATAAAAATAAAAGGCCTAAAAATAATAATAATAATAATAATAATAATAATAATAATAATGCTAACTACTTACATCCTTCCCATAATGCATCAAAGATGTCAGATCATACGGCACATCCATAGTATTAATAACGCTGGTTCCCTGTTTTTCAAAATTTCCACTATATCCACTTTTCACATTACCCCATAGAATCTCAACGAAGTCGTCACGATCTGGTCGTGATTGCTCGTGGAAAAACCCAGCAGCATGTCCGATTTCATGAGCTATTGTCCCAAGCTTTTAAAAAGAGTTTTAATTTAGAATGAGATTTTTTTTTTTAATTACTAATGAGTTGGTATTATTACATATTAATCAGGAATAGACATTATTTTAATTGCAGGTCTCACTCTAATGAAAGACTCTTCTAATTAAAGACCACCTCTAATTAAAGTGGTCCAAAATTAAGAAATGTCTCTATCTTTGTTAGTCTAATCATGGAGGTATTATTGATAATAATAATACCTCCATGGTCTAATTTACACCAAAGCTAGTACTAAAGACCAGGGAAACTCCGGTTGTCCCAAAAAGTGTTCTTTACTTGGAGGGAGGCCCGTACGGCAATAGACCTATAATAAGATAATAATAAATGTTACTATTTTACTATCATTAGGCCTTTTTTTAAAATTATTTTAAACGATGATGTTAATGCTTATAATAAAGATAACCATAACGATAGTAATCGTGATGATGGTGTTTAAGATCATAATGATAGATGGATATATTCGGTGTGAACACCAAGGATAACCCAGAATCTGAAGAAGACTTATTTCCAGTGGGGTCCTTGGGACAGAAGAGGGTACTGTACTCCGTTCTTTAACGTGCACATGGGTCGTAAAAAGACGTCCGAAAGTCGGTGCGATTTCGTAACTTGCATTTCAGACCTCTGTTGAAATACAAGTAGAGCAGCATTGGGAATTGAACCGGGCACCAAGAGATCTCTATTTATTATTATCATTATCATTATCATTATCATTACCATTATCATTATCATTATTATTATTATTATTATTGTTATTGTTATTGTTATTTTATTATTATTATTATTATTATTATTATTATTATATAAGGTAATAATAATACAATAAAAATAATAGCAAAATTAATAATCATAATAATATTTTTTATTACAATGATACCGATATTTCATATATTTTTAAATTTTTTTATATTAATATTCATAAATATTTTAAAGAACATTTAACTTATTTTTTAAATAAGCCAATATAAATTCAACTTCGTTTGAAGTGTAGATGAAACATGAACATATTTCCGACAGCGTTTCACATTCTTTTCTCTTTGAAATAATTTGTTGTGTATTCACAGAACTGTTAATAAAGTCCTAAAAACATATAAAATTTAATATGAAATAATAACCTACACTTTCGCATCCTTCGCCGATAGATATGGGTTGAGGTTTTTTATCAATTTTACCAATATGGGACCAGCATCTAAATAGAAGCAAAATTAATTTAATTAAATCAGAACAAATTTGTATTGAATTGAATTGAAGCGAGAGTCACTGCATTATTAAAAGAGAGCAGCGATATAAATATTGAACCAAACTCAATAAGTGATTTAGGTTCAAATCTAAAATGAAACAAAACGTTGTCTTTAAACTCGTAGCAACAAATGTAATACGTATATATACAGTACTTGCCCGTCTTGCTTAGTAAAGAGAACTCTGTGTCCGGACGATGCTTCCCTGAACCGCACGCAGGTGTTACTCTCCCAGTGTTCAATTGCTGAACGGATTACAGCTTCGTTATCAACTTTGAAATGTTAATGATAAACAAAATGTCATTTCAAGAAGAAAGGATTGGTTAGTCGTTAAGAAGTGCCAAACTTAATAAGTTTCAGCTATTTATGAACCCTCGTCGTTTTACAAGGTACAGTATAAAAAAAATAAAACGAATAGATCAGAATATTATTGGTAATGTATTTTAAATACCCTATTAACCCATGGACCTATATTAATAAGAAGGACATACAACGTAGTATTGCCCTTTGATCAATCATCTTTTCCGACAAGATAAGAGCGGGGTATATTTATCGGAATAAACTATGAAAAGATAATCGGTACCGTTATTTCTTATGTTATTGCCCTTCTGAGCATGCTCATTAGGCTTTCGTTCACAGCTGCCTGGTTCTCCGCGAGACACACACACATTGAACTGTTGAAAATACCAGGTTCACAAAAATACGAAATACAGTATCATTATTAATAGGTCCATGATTAACCTAAGCACACTCCGTAGATCTCTTAAAAGTTTTAATAATAATAATAATAATAATAATAATAATAATAATAATAATAATGATGATGATGATGATGATGATAATGGGTGGATGGAAAAGTATATGTATTTATTTATTTTAAATACTCATCAGATGGGATAAAAATAACACACATATGCCTTGAATGGCAATATATTACATCAGACAACAACTTTAGACCTACTTTGTAGGGCACCTGGCAAAAAATAAAGATAAATTCACTCACTTTTTTTTTTATTTGTAAAGAAAAAAGCTAAAAAAAAAAAACTTCATTTAAGTTGTTTTGTTTTTTCCGCCCCTATTTTTTCAGTGAGTTAGGGGCGGTTGGAGGAGAGCAAACAAACAATTTCTTTTTACCTTGTGAGGATGATGATAATAATGGATTTCACCAGGATATTGTATAAAAGGGATAAATTTTTTGATTATTGATTATTAAATTGGCAAAGGTAGACAAAGATATATAGATTAGTAGATTATATTATAAAAGATATTTGAATAATAACCTTAACTTACGGCGTGATAATAATAATAATAATAATAATAATAATAACAATAATAATAATAATAATAATAATAATAACAATAATAATAATTATTATTATTATAATTTAATTATATTTTAATTATTGAAAATAAGCAATTTACTGACGAAGAAGATAAACAATGTACTGTAGGTTTGATCAACTCAGACTTACGTGATTCATCAGCAATTTCATACGGGATTATAGCATCATCCCACCGATAAAACTGATTCTTTATAGCTTTGCGTTTTGTCGGTCCCCCTAAAATCTCATTTTCAAGTTGTTCTCGCTGTGCCTCTGTTAGTTTTATATCACCTTCAAATGTGTCTTCAGACTCTATCTCCTCGGGACGCAGGTTTGGTGGTGGACCTTGCAATTTCTAAAATTAGATGAGTAGGCCTATTTACAGGTAGTTGAGAAAAAACTTCTCTGGAGAAACTGTATTTCTTGTATGAGTTATTATTCTAAGGAACAAATTTATGTTGAAAAAGTAGCCTGACCTGGGACTGATGTAGTATTTGGCGGTAGGGGTGCGTGAGAGTCCACACCACCTTAGCCCATGGAGGAATTAGCCCGACCATGGTTGGGGCTGAGGTGAGACAATGTTGAGAATATGGACCTCTAGGGGTGCCCGGAAATTGGACTCTCATACTTTTAAAATCTTTCCGTTACAGTACTATGTTTATAATGGTAAAAATAATATATCAACAATATAATACAACAATTATTTTTCATAATACAATATAGGAGGGGTGGGGTGCCTCCTCCCACCCCTGTACCTCCCCCCACCCCCTGCGTCTGCCCCAGCTGACCGACCAAAAATTTGAAAATCAGGATCGGCTTTATTACAGTTACGAAAAAAATAACCTGCTTGTTTAAGATGGCTACTTTACCAGTCTTCATTACTAATTTTGATACCCAGTCATGGGATTTATCCCTTTGGTTACAAATTTACTAGCCGCCCGCCGACGTGTAATGGTTTTGTTAGGCTCTGAAATAATTTTACTGTCATAAATCAAATCAAATCAACTGTATACATCAATAATACAATAAAAGACAAAAAAAAAAACCCCAAAAAAACACAAAAAAAATAAAAAAAAAAATAAAAAAACAATAATACAGTACGGTATACCTATAGGTCTATTGCCTTAATTTAATTTAAAGAAAGTAAAAAACAAGAATTAATTTTCATTTTTGTTGCCTACAGAATTATCTATCGATTTCATTTAACAATGGTATGTTGATTTCCCCACTGACGTCACACTCATGAGCAAACCCATGTCACATATCTCGACAGCGTAGACAGAGTAGGTACTATAGATTATATAAAGCCTACTAAACCATGTAGGAAAACAGAACAATAACAACACATATCTTAAATTTGGAGAAAACATTCGCTTTAAAACAGTGGGGAGTGCGAGTAAGGAGCGTACACCCCTCTATTTTTTTTAAGTTTATCAGAAAATACCATGCTAAATAGTAAAAATCATTCAAATACAATCTCAAATTATTGAAGGTTCTAGAGGTTTAACGGGTATTAGCCCATTGCACCCCTACCAGGGGCTCTTCCCTGAGACTCTCACTTAATTCGCATATTCACGTCCCCTCTTTATTACCCGGCTGGATCTGCCCCTGTACAAATTATGAATTTGACAGTGAAATATCAACATCCTCAAACCATAAAAATAAAATAAAAAACGACTTACTTTAGTTGGATGGGCAAATGTACAATGGATAAAGACAGACAGCAGTAGAAAACACATTAACATTTTCGACATGTTGAAGGTGTAGGCTACTTCTCTTCAGATAAACCGCTTTTTGTCCAGTCCACTGTTATGCCGTTTTTACTCTCTTATATAGCGGAGTCAACATGTTATCTTTATACATGATTTCCTTTGATACGTTATTAAACAAAAGACATAATAACAAATCAGCGTATTTTCAGAATTTTTCCAAAACCATATTTTTGGGTTTATTTGATAATTCAATACCATGTGTTATAACGATCGATTTTAATTTCCGATTCTCAGTTCAATGTGAATCAATACGTGTAAGGCGCCCTTCCTGCTGCCATATGTGCGATGTTTATGCTATCATTTATGCTATAACAATGAAATTATAATTTCATATTAGTCTACTTTTAATGTAAAGTGTATAATTCATTATTGAATTTTGACCGATCAATATTCTCTAGGCCTACCCATATTTACTTCAAATTCTGAGACCATATTTACTCGTAATTTGGCATGCTTTATTCGAGTTAATTAGGTACCGTAAATTATTTGACGGATGTTAGGCAAGGCAATACATTATTTATTAATATTGATTTTTTTAAAACTTTATCTAATTATTTTAAAAAAATTAATGAGAATATTAATTTAAAATCTTCAACAATTTATAAGATGAACTTATAAGTTTTAATCCTCCAAACTCCATTAGTATGTGGGCCTAAGCTTTATTTTTAAAGCCAGGCTCCTGACAAAAAAAAAATAGGCCTATGTTGTACAACGGTTTTTCTATCGACACAAGAGCATATCCTATTTTGAATATGTCGGGAGCGGTTAGGGGGATTTTTGGGGAAAAGGGGCGTAACCATCATTTTCCACCTTTTCTCCCCCAGTTTTAAATAGGCCCGGATTCAGAAATCTGTATCTCATTCACTCGTCAAATATGTTTTTTGTGTCTTAGAAAAATCAGTTGTACAACATATCAATTTTTGTTTTCCTCCGGAGCCTGGTCTTAACTTTGTAGCTAACCGCACAGTTCATTAAGGTTAGTGATGAAGTTATTCAGACCATTTCTACAATAGGCCTACTGGATTTACAAGTAACGATATTTACCCCCTTTGGGTACTTTGTATACGTCCGATTGATTATCTTACAGTAACAATCCTACTAATTGTCTAATCCAACTAATTGACATCATGATATCATGGAGGTATAAAAAAAATCATTTTTTATACCTCCATGATGATATCAACCTAGCCTATTAAGCACATTTAATGCTAAAAACGTGAATGGTCATTATTAAGCCATGCCTAACCACAATAGGTTATAAACTAGTCACTAAAAGCGTAATTGCGTGGAGCTTTGTGATAACGGTTTTTGCAGTTTATTTATATTTATTTATTTAGTCATTTTATTTGAAATTCGTGAAGAAAAAAATATAATTGGTACTGTAGGCCTACTTCACATTGATAACTCAAATTGACAGATGCATTAGTGCCGAGGTACAAATGAATGTGTTTCAAAAGAAATAGATCAATAAAAAAGTATTTATAGGCCAGTGAATAGTAGTCACTGGTAGTCACACAATATCTGGCGCCATCTCTTGCTGCTGTTGTTGAGGATTACGTCATCGGTTATCGATGAAAAAATAAGAGAGCTGCCATGAAGAAGAACGTGTGATATGTGCGAAGATTGCAAAATAGATAATAGTAGGCGATTTTTTCATAACAAAACACACTAGAAGTGTAGTGTTAACATCAAAAGTAAGCACACCTCGCTTTATCTGGCATGGGTGCTCTGATAATAGAAAAATTGCTTTAATAATGCTTTTTATTAAGCCTGGCTATTGTTACAGCCTAGCAGCAGCAAGCCTACTACTACAAGCCTTGGCTAGGCCTGTACTACTAGACTAGCCTGGCACCAACACTAGTAGTACTAGTAGGAGGCCTGCCTAGCCTAGGTAAGTAGGAGGAGTAGCCTAAAGAGCCAAACTAGGCAAAGCCTAGAGAGGCCTGCTTCACCTAAAGGGGCCTAGTCTAGAGATGGAGCGAAGCTAGGCTAGTGAACAGACAGTTTAAAAACCTTACACATCATACTTAGTAGTTAGGCCTACTAACCTACTACATAGACTTGCAACTGCATATTCATCGTGTGAGACTGCAAGGAGGTATACTATAGGCCTACCTCCTTGGACAGTGTATGCAGCCCTCCGAGTAGGCCTAGCCACTTCAATAAATTGGGTGGTGTTGTGTTCTTTTTGCACATTTTGAGTTGTTTCAAAGTGGTTTTAAGTTGCGCATTCAATATGCAAGCCTTGCATTGCCTGTTTCTTTTGAACATTAAATCGTAAAATGTGACATTTAAATTTATTACTACTGATAGTGATATTGACATTAAAAAGCCCCATTCCCAGCCAAATTTTACTGAAAAAAATGCGAACATGCATTACTCTAACTATTTAAACCATGGGAAAATATTGGCATAAATGATATTTTTTTACACAAAAGAATAAAAAAGAATGAGAAATAGAAACTATATCTCATATGAGGTCATTTTTGACGACTTCTTCACTACTACTTGGCAAATTCAGAGGTTGTAGATCACATCCGCTGGAATGTTCTTGCTTTTGTGAATACTTTATACAGTTGAGTGTCGTAGGTAGGCAGGGTTACTGTTTCGCGAACCCGTCGCATTCTTATCTTCTTATTTTTTTTTTTATCTCGCCCACCAATGCCATGAACTCTCATGATAAGATATTTTAGTTCATCCCACAATTAATTTTAAAAAAAAGCATTAATCTGTCGTGAGCAATAAATAAGGTGCACCCTCTTTATTGAGAATAGTTTTTGTACTTTGCATTTTGCACACTGTTTTCTATCGAGTAGGTCAGAGATATTTGTTAAATTGTCAAAATCTTGGTCAGAATAATTTTTTAAACAAATTTGAAATTCCAATGAAATATATTTCACAAGTGCAACGGAAAATATCATGTCAGCCGTTTTTATGTCTAATAACATAACCTAAATCGATGTACTGTAAGGCTACTAGGCCTAGCCTTCAGTAGGTCAATTCACGCAAAAGGCCCATTTTGGGAAAAATATGAAATTCTTCATATTGGAAAGTAATTAGAGTTATTATGTTGTAGGAAGCTCAAACTTTCAAAAAATACCAAAAAAAAAATATTGTGACCCAAGATTTGACCTAAATTTGAGGTCGTTGAACTATTTAACAGGAATGTCAATCAAAACTAGGCTTTGGAGAGGTATTTTCTCGTTGGTTTTTCTGAGTCCTCCAGGAGAGATAAATTGACTATACAGTACTAAACAGATCAGTTTATACGATTAAGGCGATTAATGAGAAATGCCAGCAAAAGAGCTTTTTTTCTAAATAGGTGGAATACTTTTACATTCCAGTGAGCTCTGCGTCCTGCCTGTCGCAATTTTTGTGAACTTTTTCTCACTCAAGTTCATTGAATGAAAGTAAAAATTTGCAAACTAGGATCTACCCTCTAGAGGGCCATAACATGCCACAATGCAGTACTATTGGCACTGTAAAACTTTTTCTATTGAAATAATCAATCATAAACTTAGTCCGTCTGTAACGTTTTACACTTTTGTTATGTCAGCCACCTCTAGTCAGTCACGATCTTACATTTGCTGTGCTCCTTTGTTTGTTGTCATTTAAATAATGGTAAAATTACTATAAGTGCATAGAGGAGTACGACTGAAAGCAAGTAGGTTTTAGGAAGATTACAAAAGCTAGGATGATGTCCTTGATAAAAATGGCTGAAATCCCTGTCAGCGTAGTAGGGGGGGCCGCTATGTTAAACCCTTAAAAAAGTCTAGTAGTAGTAGGGCAAAGCTTCTCAATCTGTACAGTAATGATAATTTGTAAGAATAATAAATATTTTTTTCTTCCTGATAAATTATGTTGACTCGAGAAACTTTTGAATAGGGGGGTGGGGAAACCACACTGATAGGGTCCTGGTACATGACCCCCCTCCCAACTGGTGCTACCACTGGGCTGTTTTGAGCCTCCACTGCATGGCAATGTCTGTTTATTTTTTAAAGGGATAAGCATTGTGCAATATGTTTTTGTGAGATGTGGTCCTGCCTTCCACGAAAGCATGTCCTGTCTGTCACTGTATTTACCCCCACCAAAATATAAAGAAGGGGACATGATGAATAATTTTCTTTTTGGTCTAAGTATATATACTAATAATCACAGTGTCACAGGATAAAGATTCAGCTGTTACTGAGGTAGATGCGTTTGAAAATGTTAGCTAAAACTTGTTTAGAAATGTCAAATTTCAGTAAAACTAGCAATTTTGTATTATATTTATGAATCTTTATAACACATAGGAATTGGGCTTTAACTTATTAATTATGGTTTAACATAATTTATTTTTTGAGAGAACGTAGAGCAATCTGATGTTAATTAATAAATACTAATAATATTACTAACAGGAATTAGTCTGATATTATAGTTTGATTGGGCCTGACCTCCCCTTAACTGCTGCTGGGCCGCTATTTCAGGCTAACCCCCCTCTAGCCTCTATGCCAGACCTAGAACTAGGCTAGAATTATTAAAGAAATGATATTAAACTGAACATAATAATTGATTTATTGATTGATAAGTTGACAAATAGATTATAAGATTAAAATAATGTAGGACAACACCAATCATTGAAAATATGTTTACGTATTAATTAGGGCCTGAATTCTTTGTACTGCAGGGGTGGAGCTGGAAGGAGCCATATCTGGGAGGTCTGGTTTTATGTATGTTTTTAGTATTTCACTGCACCTAGATACTTTTTGCCAGTCAATTTCAGGGAGAAATTATGCATTAGTCAAAACATCTGATGGAGATGGGTTTAGTTTCTATAAGATTTTGGCTTGTTCGTGGGAATACAAAACACAGTGCTGATTTTCGGGAGACCTGGGCCCCTTGGGGATGGTTACTGTATGATTGCCCCCAAATTAGTTGAAATCAAAGGTTTAGCAAAATGAATGGTACCATCACCAACTTTAATCCTAATAATTCCATAAAATTTTGAATAGAAGCACCACGGGCTTAATCTCAGGAAGAAGCCCTTCTCAAAAAGCCTCCCCTCTTGAGTTTGTCAAAGTAAACTTGAAAAGAAGCCCATCTTGGAAAGAAGCCAATGGACTTCTTACCAAGATTAATATGTGTTTCTTTCGAGATAGAAAGGCCCTACTTACATTCAGACTGACTTTATCTTTGATTATCATGATAGCATGTCAGTATCAATATTGAGCATGGTTAAACTTTGAAAGTATTAAATTAAATTTTGAATTCCATAGTTGAAACATGTATAGTAGCAACTCAAAAATGTACAGCATTGTTGTTGAAAAGTACCCCCTCTTTAGTTTGCAAAAGTAATCTAAAAAAAAATCCCATCCAGTGGTTCTAAAAAAATGGAAGCCCAAGGCTTCTTTTCAAGGGTTTACTGTGTTTGCTTATTGTGTGCTAAGTGTACCATTTCTTTTTTGTTCTCATATTGTAGACCGTTAAATTGACTGGCAAATAACTTAAAGATATTTGTCAAATTACTGTAATTGGAAGTTGATAACGTATTAGAAATTCAAAGTTTTAATTGAATGTTTTGGTGGTTTTTTTTTTTTTATTGGATTAGCATGAGACAGGTGATTGGCAATGCATTAATTGTTTTATTTTTAATTTTCAGAAAATGAATTCTGAAGGAGCAACCCAGAGGCCAATGATAAGTGTAATGCTTATGTCGGAGCTTGTTAAATGTCCACCTAGTTTCTTTGAAATAAGACAGGACGTCGGACGAGAGCACCCCATTTTCATTCACGATCACCACAAAGTTAATGTGTGTGTTCATTCATCCAAATACAAAACATGGTTTCCAGACACTCTTGGAGAGTAAGTTTAATGTTTAGAAGCCTTTTTACTAAACTTAGATTCAAGATTTGTTTTATTGTTGCGAAAGCTATCGAGGGCTACAGTATTATCCACTCATTAACAACACATACACTATATATATATATATGTACAATGACGATCGTAGTATGCACTGAAATGTCTGTGTTTATGGACGGTAGATAGTACCATGCAAAAAAATTGTGAATTTTTCTTCATAATTTAAGTATACATGGCCGATTGTTTGCATTATTAAATTCAGTTAAATGTATCGAGGAAATTAAATTTAAATTGTAGTGCATCTACCGCGTTGCGTCTGACACCATAAGTAGTACCAGAAGTGGCAACGCATAGAATGCACCCTTTAAAATTTTGGGGGCACCACCCTTAACATTTTTTGCGCAATAATTTCTGAAATTCCACCACTCTTTAACAAAATCCTGGTGAGAGAGCTGAATAGAGATTGAAGAATTATGGCATGGAGGATGGAAGGGGTGAAAGGAATGATTTGAGATTTTGGCAATTTTAGATAATGAACTCAGATTAAAAAATTTCTATCTAATAGTATGTTCCTACAGTTATGCTTATACAGTATTACGTGTGTGTTGTAGCAATTGTATGCTCCCTATACTTAGTAACTAGTACTGATTCTGAAGGACGTTTAGAAATGCTCAGAAACAAATTACTAGTACTTCGGACACAGTTAACTTACATTTTTACAATTAAAAGTTTTTTTTATGAGAAAAAAAATTCCTGCCTATTAACAGACAGTGAGCGTTTGTGTATTCTTTTGCATGATTCATTTGGTAACAGGATATTTGTACAACCGTCTGTAAATCAATGAAAGCTATTTTCACTTCCATATGATTTTGATCGTTTTAAATATAAAGCTATTCAATATTTAATTGGGTAGATACATCCTAAACAGTACGTCATATGTGAATATCGTAAAATTATTGTTTATAATATACCTGCTTGCTATATAATCTATGCCTTTATTCATATTGAATATGAACGAAATGTTTGTAAGAAGTCAAACATTAAAACAATACATAGAGAAGTACCTGTGTGTCCGAGCATTTCTAAACATTTATCCTTTAGAATCATTAGTATAGCAGTTAATTAAATTGCATACTTTACACCCCCGTTCCACAAACTTTTTAGCCCACGACCCAAATTATATGTTAAGCAGTATGACGCGACCCATCGAACCCTAAGCGATTAAAATGTCCATCGTATTATACACGCGAGGGATAGCGGGAAGAACCACACATTTGATTCTTTTGTGAATTGATTAAAAGATATCATCACCCACAAAATCACTATGTAAAAGCCATAGAAATAACATTGAATTACTCATTTAACCAAATCACGCAAGTTATCAAACTTTTCAATAAGTTAAAAATTTTAAAAAATTTATGATTAACAGACATTTTATTACAAATTCCTAGTGCTGCCAGAGATTTATGGGCTATGCGAAGACATAGATACATTAAATTTAAAAATGTTTTCTCATTTATAGGCCTAATTTGCAGCTGAAAGCCTAACACATTAAAATGAACAAAACTAATACTTTAAAGTTGTCATACCTGAAGTACAAATGTTTTGATAGTATATTTTTAACATGAAACTGTGATAACCTACTCATAACAACTAGTAAACTGACGCACTTGTCACACTTACATTGACTTTGCTTTACTGTAATTTAATTTCATTTGTCTTCGTTCTTGTTTTAAAGTAAAGTTTTCACGATCTGATATTATGCGACCCATCAATTTTTTTTGCGCGACCCAAACAGCTGTAGGTTGCGGAATGGTGCTTTACACTCTCAAATGATCGACCAGAAATTCAACGCTGCCTTTTTATACTTTCAAAGACCATGTTGTAATGGTAAACACTGCCTAGGCATAGGGATATTGTAATTACAGAAATAGTCAATTACGGTAGTTCACTCTGTATCAACTGTATACATTTTCCTCTCGACCAACTACAAATAGATTTTGGCCTACCCTAACCATGGAGGAATTAGTTTAGTTTCTAAACTACTGCAACTCCTCCATGCCCTAACAATGCCATAGCTGTCATATTCCACAAGCAGCGAACACCACACCACTTTTGTGACTCGCGAAAAGAAGTGTCAAGCAGGCATGCATTTATTCAAGTTATCAGTTCACCTAAAATGACTTTAAATAATGCCCTTTATAATTTCTGCCTGAACTGTATGGGGAAAAAAAATAATGTGTACTAGTCCATTCAGCCCCTGCTGTAGACAGACGAGTGTAGCTGTTACTGGTTTACCTTGCAGCTCAGACACAAAGAGAACCTTAAGCCCCTCTCCCACCTACAGTAGGTTTATTTCACCTAAGAGTCGTACGATTTCTAGTGATCTTTGGAAAGGACCTATACGAGCTTATTACGTGATAGCTACGAGTGAGGTACGACTTTATGGAGTTGGTTACGTGTTATGTACGAATTATGCCGAGTAGAGCACCGAGTTAACTACAAGATTGTTACGAGCGTAACAAGTTAGTACCGAATTAGATACGAGTTAGGTATGAGCCAACTCGGTGCGCTTGTACTTACTCGTACTCGTTTTTGGGTGCTCGCATCAAACTCGTAGATGACAAAACCGCCGACGAGTATCCAGAGTAGTGTACGAGCTAAGTAAGAGTACCCCGAATACTCTACGAGTTACCTACGAGTTCTTCGAGTTTACTACGAGTTATCTACTCGTGGCGATAATTTTGAACATGTTCAAAATTAGCGCCACGAGTTCAGAGCTGCTACGAGTAGGTAAGAGTCCTCTCCGAGCTTTCCGAATCGTCCTACGAGTTTTTGCCGAGTTTGCCGAGTTAGCAACTCAGTATTCTCTTGTAACTCGTATGCTGAAAAAACCCCTAGTGGGAGAGGGGCTTTAGTGGAGAAGAAAGTTACCGAGCTATTATAATAGTCCATGCTTTGAGCGCTCCGATCTTCATGAAATAGCGCTATATAATTGCTGTAATATATGTAATGTAACTTTTTTTATGTTTCTGGAGAGCGTACACTGTTAAATTATACATCCATATTCATAGTCGCCTAGAAACCTTATTCATTACGGTGGTCTAGTTTAAGCAATGAAGAAATTATATATTTTTTTTTTTACTTTTGTTTATTTCCATCATTATAAATTCACTATTCTGAAAAATTTGGCATAATATCCTAGCAATCAGTTGATAGAGTGGTGGATTAAGTGATCAGGGCCGGCGAAACGTTTTTCAAAGTTTGGTCAAATAAATAGACTCTTCCTTAATTCAATGACACACATGAAACAGGCCTGGCGAAACGTTTTTCAAAGTTTGGGGGGGGGGGGCCACTAGTAAGATGAATGGGAATATGAATGAGGGAGATCTGGGTTCAAATTTGAGGGGGGGGTCAAAAATTAACTGAAAAACCCCAAAACGGATTCCTAACTTTAGATGGTGGGAAATGAGCTTTCCCGACTTTTGAGCTAGTTGTCTTTTAATGACTTAGTCATTCAAAATTCAAGTTCCCCCCTCCCCCCTCGAAAACGGTCAGGTAAACTTTCTCATTCTTATTACAGTAAATAGGCCTGTTATGTGTGTATACATACATAAAAAAAAGTGAGTAGTTGCATATATATTTTTTTTTTCCATGAATCGATAAATCCCAAAGAAAAAGGGGGTCAGGGTTCTTCCCCGGGTAAACATCGATTGCAGATGGTGGGAAATGAGCTTTCCCGACATCTGAGGTGTCTTTTAATGACTTTTAAGTTCTTCAAGTAAATTTTTCTCATTCTTATTACAGTAAATAGGCCTATTATGTATGTACCGTTATACTGACGTTGCTTACGTATTCTTTTTTCCATTAATCGATCAACCCCAAAAATAAAATGGGGTCGGGGGTACTCCCCGAGAAATTTTTGATTCTTAGATGGCGGGAAATGAGCTTTCCCAACTTCTAATTTTCTTTTTGTAACAAAAAAAAAGATCAGGTCACGGGTCCTGAAAATGTAGGTCTAGAATTCTTTTTTTTTTTTTGCCCATGGGAGGGGGCCTGGACCCCTGACCACCAGATCCGCCAATGTGAATTGCAAGAAAAATGTAACTCGATCAAATGATTATTTCAATGATGATCTGGATAAATCATTGAAAAAAATAATTGATCTGCTGTATAAATTACTTAATAAACCTGTACTATGTACTTGATAGAATTTTGAAAGTTCACAATGAAACGGAGTTGGAAAGTTTGTCACGAAGTCTTCTTTCAAAACCATTGTTCTTAGATGTTCATCTTGAAAGGAACTCAAAGCTTGCAAATCACCGACACATCACCACAGGTAATTAATAATATGCTATTATTTTCAATTTTTGAGGTTGCTGTTGGAAAATTGTAGCTGTTTATTTCTTGAAAAATTTGCTTGAATCGCAAGATCTCGCTGTGTATTTCACTTGTCTTTTATGCAAGGACCTTTACCTACGGATGTGTGTCTACCCAGGAGTACAAGTGGGTACCTGGTAGGTTCTAACACAAAAATCATGTGCTGATTACAGCTTCAACATTATGGAATTCTGCCCTACGGACCTGAGTATGTGCTCCATATGTCCATTGACCAGGGGTGCATATAGAGGTCTCTACGATATTATAAGCGGGACAATTTAGTAAAAAATGCTTGACATCTTCAATTTCTCCACTTTCACATAGGGTGCAAATGCCTGAAACATCATTTGACCATTTACACGTTTTACAATCAAGGGGTAGTGTATTAGATCTTAATTTAAATTTTAGGCTTGCCCCAAGAAATTTTGTTTTGTCCAACAAATATTTTTGTAATTTAGGAGAAACTTGAAGTCTTGAATAATTAATTAATGAAGGTTTTTGCAGTAATTTATTTGACCACTCTGATTTATACCATAAATGTGTGGACAAAAGTTAGATAAATATATTCTATTATTGTTAGTCTTGAAAGTGCTGCTGTCATTGCTTTAATATACGCTAGCTGTAAGTCGACCATTATTATTATTATTAGGGCCATTTTTGAAGGAAATACTGTTCTCAGACTCAAGGCTTCTTTTTACTAACAGTGCCCAAAATAAATTGAAAATAATTTATTTATATGTCAGTCAACTTGTATCTTATCTAACAAATTTGTATTCAATCGGGGATAGGAAAATTACTTTGAATGTAATGAGGATGTCACGATTGACTTTTGATTAAATTTATTTCTTTGTGTGTATTTCTACAGTAAACTGAATACGTATATTTGCAGAATATTAAATATAATAAGAAACAGTACCCAAGAGTTGTATCCAGTTAACAACTATCTGATTAACAGTTTCAAATATCTATTCATGACCTAAAGCCCTGTACAGACTATCAAATTTATCAAGACAAAAAAAATGTTAAGTGATGTCATCATGACCTTATTTAGGCATGTCACATGTTTTTGTCAAGTAAAATTTGATAGTCTAACCGGAGACTTAAAGCAGGCCATTGTCATTGTCCTTAATCATTGACAGTGTCTTCAAAAGTCGCTCATTATATTTATCTTTACATTTCTGAAGGTGATTTTGCTGTAGTGGTAAACCCTGAGCACCCAGTCATCAGGCAGCAGATGGCAAAGATCCTAGAGGAGGGCAAAGCAGATATGAGTGCAGGGAGAAGTTTTGCCTTGGAGGTAAAATCAAAATTTATAGTTTATATTAATAATAATAAAAATAATAAAAATAATAATAATAATAATAATAATAATAATAATAATAATAATAATAATAATAATAATAATAACAATAGTAATAATAATAATATAAAGGATGAACTGCCTGGAAATTAAGTCTGTATTGCTATATCTATTATCTTGCACTGAAGTAGGGTGTACACTTGAATTTTAAAAGAAAATAAACAATTATGTAAGTGATACATTAGCTATTACTTCTAAAATGTCTATAAATTCTTTAAAATAATATCTGTTTTGTTAATAAGTGTTTCTGCTTAATAATTATACCAATTATAAAAACAAATTAAATTGTCCAATGCTGTATATTTATTTAAATTTGATATTAAATTATTTAAATAAAGTATACATTTACATGAACTTTGCATCATTGTCAAAATCAAGGAAATTTAATATTTAAAAAAAATATCTATTATGTTTCAGTTAATTAATGATGATTAGTGGAGTTAAATAGCTTGGTGGTTATGATGCTTGCCTTCCAATTTCAGGGTCATGTCACAGTAAAAGATTTTTTTCTCAAAACCAAAACAACTTGACTCTCTCTCAATGTAGACTAGTCTATGCTAATAGGTAGTACATCTTACTTATGTGTATGTTTGTCTCGTGAAAGGATTACTGTTTGGCATTTCCTTGGCCTTCGTGCCTAATGCTAAATAAAACAGTATATATAATTTGTTTTATCTTTCTTAGTTTGAGTTTAATGATGTGATCAAGGCTTGGTTCAAACAATTGATGTCAGAGGATGGAATTACCGACTCTGCCTGCTACACTCTGTGGGAGTGTAACCATGGTAGAATTGTCATCACAAACTCATCAGAGTACCTTCACTGTTATGATGTCTCTCTTGAAAATACCATCATATGGATGATCTGTCTCCCTTGCTGTCTACTCACCTGCCCATGTTATCGGGTAAGGAATGAATTTATTTTTATATATATTATAGTTTCACAAACATAAATTTCCTGATGTAAAGTAATTGCAACAGCATTTACACCATCAGAAATGTCTTCTTGTTCGCAACATTATTATTATCATCATAATCAACAAGAATATCACCATCAGCCCCCTCCCCCTACTTCATTTGAAGACTGTTAATATGATGCAAGTCCACTCACTATTGGGTGGCAAATTAAAAATAACAGATGTTAAAAATACCTTCTTAAACATTTCTAGGTACATAGATGCTTTTCTTGCGTGGATCGCTCAGTAACTGTACAGGGAGAAGTTGTGTATGTATCGATGAATCGTTGGCAACGTACGTTGACAGCTGCTGCCATTATGCAAGCTATTCAGTCTCAGATGCAGTCACCCCGCACTCAAGTCGTTGGACCTCCACAAGCTTATAACACAGGTAAATTACTTCCTCAGCTTCCAAAAATTGGTAAGGTAAGCATGATGATGTGTTAGTGTAACAAATGTTTGAAAGGTTGAATTTATTTTGATAATACACCTTAGTATAAAATGCAATGTTATGTTTATTGTTTGGCCTGCCAATTATCATTTTATAAATCCCTACTAGTTTAAAGAATAATTAAAAGAAAGAGAATGTGCATTATTATAATTTATTCTAAAATAATTGTTATATTTTTATAGTTAATCCACCTGTCACAACTCAACCGCAGACTGCTTACCCCGGTTATCCTCATCCAGCTCAGCATCAGCAAGCAACTTACCCCTACCCAGCTCAGCCAGCCCCGCATCCACAAGTGGCATATCCCTCAGCTTCACAACCAGCCCCAAGACCACAGCTGCCATCCTATGATGAGGTTATGAGGAACACGACTGGTGACAACACTAAACTTATTCAGTAATTAGTTGATTGATAAACATCTGTCTTCATTATTCTTTTATTTATTTGTTGTAGTATTTTTTTAGTGATAGATTCAGTCTGCCGAAAATAAAGAGACTTGAAAATTAAAAAAATAAATATAAAAATATAATCTATAAAAAGAATATATTGGATACAATCAAATATATGAATGATTAGTATTATATATACATATCTTGTTAAAAAAAATGTTTTGGCTCACAGTTTCTGTAAATTTATAAATAAAGACTGAATTGTGTAATGAAGAAGCAATTTCTCCATATAATGGTTTATGGATTGTCAATTTTTTCCACTTGCTGAAAACACATCTTGTAAAAAAAATTCTCGCTGAAAACACATCTTGTAAAAAAAAATGGGGTTTTTTTGGTACAGAGTTTCTGTAAATTTACAAATACAGAATTTTGTAAATGAAGAAATTCCACCATCTAATGGTTTATGGATTGTCAATTTTTTTCCACTTGGTGACAACACTTAAGACAGAATGTAATTAAAATACTAACATACTCTATGTAGAGGTAGATAATAAAGGTAAAACTTGAGTGTAGACAGAGATGCAGGGCGTGCGGACCCCCATGGCAGCAAACTAGTTCAACCAAGTGGGTTGATATGCTAAAATTAACCATTAATTTTCATTGGAATATGGAATTAGTTAGAAACAGGGGCCCCTATGAGCTTCAATTGTTAGGCAAGGGATCAAATCTAAATGTGGGGATAAGACAATGCAATATAAGACAATCTTCAATCTTTAATATTAATTTTAATTATTTTAGTATTAATTGTTAATATATACACATATGATATACTGTATATTTTAAAATCTCTAGAATTATATATTATTTTAATTTTTTGGAACATTAAATGTTGACCATATTTATTATTTAACTGTTCAGTGTTTAATATTTTATCTTGAATAGGTTGTAAAAGCATGTGAATAAAAAACAAGAAACATAATACATATACATTACTAATGGTAGGCCTACCCTATAATTAGGGTAATATAATTAGCTCATAGATGATATTCATTATTTCCACTTTTGATTGATTGGTTGAGTAAAGACATTATTAATCTTAGTTCATTTTAGCAATGTAAGCTATCTCAGCAATTGACTTCAATATACATAAATGCTTCTACTTACCATTGTTATGTTATGTTGTATGTCATGTTCAAAACCTTGGTTGTGCTTCTGTTTTGCTATTTGCATTTTCAGAATAGTTCTGCATGATGATTTATGTCTATTATCTCGTATATATTTTATATAAGCCTGTATATGTGCTAAACTTGATATCACAGATTCTACTACTGTACAGTTTCAAGTTTTCTGGGGTTGCACCTTCTATTGGGTTGCACCCTCTATTGGGTTGCACCCTCTATTGGGTTGCACCCTCTATTGGGTTGCACCCTCTATTGAGGGTCTCTATTGGGTTGCACCCTCTATTGGGTTGCACCCTCTATTGTATATAATATAGGATTTGTTTGTGACACAAAAACATTTGATATCAAGCCTTTTGATTTTTGTGGTATTTTCTATGTTATTTTTTTAAATATTTTAAATTTTTCTAAGTCTCCCCAAATTCATTTTAATTTCTGCAATGATTTATTTACTTATTTTTTTATTTGAAATCTTGGAATTTTCAGTATAATACCGCATGATGATTTATGTATAACCTCGTGTATCATTTTATAAGAAGCTGGTACATGTGCCAAACACGATACAGTAATACAATAGAAGTTTTTTTGCCGTTACGCTCTCTATTGTAATTGTATATTGTTTTTTTGAAAATATAACATTGTTTGCGTTATAGTAATTATGTCTGAACAAAGTATAGAATAAAAGTTCATAAATGTTGTCAGCATTGATTCAGGATGTTTTGCCTCAAACTCTTGGCCACCATTAATGTGTACTTTAAATGTCTATTTCGTCAACTACTATAGTATAATGATAATCGTAAAGACATACACGGTGCATCCTCCAATTCCAGACCTCTCTAATATCGAAACCACTCAAATTCCGAGACCCCTCTAATTCAAGACCACTTTTTCAAAGAATGAAATAACAATCTAATAGTGGACACCGAACACTGAGACGACCCCAAATTTTCAGGTCCCAAAGTGGTCTCGACCTGGAGGGCGAACTGTATTCAAACGTGGAGGAATTCTTCACTTGTCAACGAGCCCTATTGGCGCAGTGATGTTACGGAGAAGATCGATAATAACGGAAGAAAAATAACAAAAAAAAAAAAAACATCACAAAAGGATAAAAAGAAACCTAGAAACTAACTGAATAATTTACTCTTCTCAATTTCTATACCAGTTTCGGGTCTTACACTAGGTGTATAATAATTATATAAAGTACAGTTAATTATGTCTATTAATTTCTATATGCAATTTAAAATTCTTAAGATTCACAGTAAGCCAATTCGTAGTGCCCCTATCCAAGGTAAATCGATATAAACCCATGCTGTGTGCATTGGCTGTACGCTTGTTTATCTCGATTGACCTTCATACGAGCATGCGCAGTTCAAGCTACGAATTGGCTTATACCTCCATGGTCACAGGGTCAGAGTAGGCCTAATGCAGGTGTCTCCATGTGGATATTGATTCATTCTTCTTTATAAATTATAGTTAAGAGAATCTAATGCTTCCCAAACGTATTATTTCTCTATAGGCTTCAAATTAAATTTGTATTGAACTTCCAGAAAGCAATTTGGTGATCTCGATTTACCCGACCTACATGTGTTTATCTTGTAAAAGTATTATCTAATGATTCCTTACCACGAATGAGCAGAATCATTATACTTAATAATATGTCACCAAATCTCGTTTCGTTTTTGTGTTGGCATTTCCTGTGCTAATAAGATACGGTAACTCTTATTGACCAACATTGTTTTCTTTTTGACAATATAAAACACTTAAAACATAAAAACACATAATAATAATAATAATAATAATAATAATAATAATAATAATAATAATAATAATAATAATAATAATAATAATAATAATAATAATAATAATAATAATAATAATATAGAAATTTATATAGCGCCTTTTGCCAAAGGATACAAGGCGCTTAAATTAAACATTAAAGTTATAAAATACACTTACAATTCACATCAATTTTAAAGTCGATATTACAATTTAGTGAAATGACAATTAAAAATGGTAATTACTTAAAATAACTGTGAAACTGAGAGATAGGTGATATAAATTGGTACGATTAAAATAAGAATTTAAGATTACAGACTGAGATGCATGGTGTTAAAGTGTGTTAAAATAGAGAAAGGGCCTAGGTAGTAATACTGTATATTAATTAATAATGTTTGAAATATAATAATTAATAATCCTGAGCACTCTGGCAGTTGGTGTTGAAGGCAATGTGATTGTAATGTTGAGATTGTACAGAATTGTGTGGGATGAAAACAAATCAGAGCGGAACTATCTGAGTGATAAAAATAAGTAATTTATTGGTGAACTGCTTGAATTTGACCGAATCCTTGATAAAGAAATTTATATATCTAAATAAAAACTTTTATACAAATTATTGCTTTTATAGGCCTACTGTTCACCATGTATGAACATTACTTTGTACAATTTTCAAACAAATAGATGTAATATTCGTTATATTATCATTTGCTATTAGCGCCACCTTAAAAAAAACATTGATGAATCATAGGCCTACTTTTATGAAATGCATTGTCAGTATTCCAACTGACACAGAAAGACATCGATTGTTTGATTCGATAGCATCTCCCTGATTCGATATAGCTAATTACAACGACACGTTGTTTGAACCAATAAGATGAAATATAGTGTCAGTTGAATCTGACAGATATATTTTTGTTGTCCAGGTAACAACTAAATTTAGGTTATTTTGCAATACGTTTATCGTCGGTAACATTCGTACTCAGGCCCGTATCCAGCTTTTTGAATGGGGGGGGGGTGCGTTTTGCGAGCGCAGCGAGCAAGCAGTCTGGGGCCAGGGGGCCGGCCAGGGCCCCTGGACGGGGTCCAGGGGCCGAAGGCCCCGGAAAAATTTGCTTTTTTACGTCCTAGTAGATTTGAAGGCATTTTATCATGTTAATCTCTATATGTTCGTGAACACAGCGATAGGGCCTATCAAAAAATTACCAGTGGAGGACATGGAGAAACAAGCAAATTGTTTCCCAAATGAAAAATACCACTGTATAAATTCGTAGCCATTACGAATAAAAATTCAAAATCAATTCTGCTTTTAAATGAATGAAAAAAAGTTTGATATAAAGAGTGGATTAAAAGCGACTGTAAATGAGCTGATTCAAACAACTAGAAGCATTTGAAACAAATTAATCAACATTTTTATTCTTGGCATCGACCAAAAACATATACAGATGTATAAGCATAATTATACTGTATGTATACGTTATCTATCCATTGAACCCGTGACGGGGTATACTGTATAAAAGGATCATCATGATACGAGTAACGTTGTACGTTTTAATAGCAACATCACTTACATTTTTTTTAATAAGAGCACATTTTATAAGAAGAATGAGGCTGTCGAAATTGCGGAAAAATTAAGAACAAAATAATAATAAATTTAAGGCTAAGTTAAAATGCCACAAGTGAGGTATTTATTTTTCAGTAGTAGTAGAAAAACCAACAAACCTTACCAGTACCTTATTTGCAGATGGTGTACACTTAGAGTAGAATACTATAATACAGTACCGTAATACACTGCTGTAGAATAATAATGTTGTATGTATACAACATTCTCTAGTATTCTTATTGTAACTCATTTGTACATTCATACAATCTTAATACGGTACTGTTATGTGATTCATTTTATAATGATTCTGGGAACAATGTCACATTTTTTTTGGTTATAATTAGTGGACGTTTTTCGATTGGGGGGGGGGGGTGCGTACGCACCCCCCTGGTACTCTTACATGATATCAAAAAGTTATGGAACCAAAGAACAGTGCTCATAAAATTACATTTCGAATGTCCTGCAAATAATCATACAGAACGTAATGTCCTGTCTCTGTGTAATTGTTCTGGTCACTGTTTCGTCAATAACCATTTTTTTAAGGCATACATTATTAACGTGTCGCCGCCAAGTTCCATCTCTATATGTTGTTCTGTTCATTATGATTCGTTAATAGCATTTTTTTACAGGGGTAATACAAAGTTGGTGTATCAAAAGACAGTACTCGTAAAAATACATTTCGCTAGTCTTGCATTCATACTATGTACACATGCGGAAAATTTTGTATTTTTCAAAAAATATGTCAAGACTTGTAACCTACGGTAGGATGTTGTATTGACATCAATTACATTGATAAAGCGACTCACCAAAGTTGGTGACTAACGACTGTTGAACTGAAGACACTTCCATACAGAAAGTTCTCGCGACGACCCTAATTTTGGGGTTAGACCGCTGGTGCAGGCAGAGGCAATTAAAAGTATATATAAGATTGCAAAAAAAACCCCTTTCAAATAGATCTAACTTAGCGGCGGAAGAGTTTCATCAGATAACGATTGCCCGGCAGAGATTTGGCCAGTGAGATCAAATCTAAAAATAATTTGGCCCTTCAAACAAATTTAGAACCTGGGATATAAATGAATCGGATATTATTAAGAAGTCGGTTCTTAAGAAGCCACTTCAACGAGAAATCAGTAAACATTAATTAACTTAACTGGATAATACTACCCTGTCACGTGTTCTCATTTATTATATTTAATTTTATTTAGTTAGGTTTGTTTCATATTAATAGGCCTACTCTATACTCAATTGTGTATTCGACATAATATAGCATTCATTAACAATCTAAAACATCAGAAAATAATTTTGTTTAATATATTTGAATGTTGCTGCCAATGGTTCAAGGCCATGGTACCGTAATAACAAGTGGAACTGTCCCCTGATCCTCACCACCTGGTACACGACGTGATACCGAAAGAACGTTATCAATGAATGACGAACTATATCATGTAAAGTTAATTATGAAACGTTTAGGAACAAATCTATCATAATGCTCATCATTACTGCTTGTTATCGTCATATCATTATCATAAAGAAATAATTTCAATACTATAATAATCATTTTCGTTATTCTCATTAATTCTATCAGTAAGTTTGATGATAGCAATGTTGTCAGATATAAAAGTAAGACATGAGATAGGTTTAGTATACGTATTCTGTTTTGTATGCCAAGGTTGTTGACCAATGTGTTACAGCATGTACCAGCATGTTTATGGCAAATTATATCTAAATGCTGGTACCGTTTTGTATATGATATCATAAGATGCTAATATAGTAGGTCATACAGGCCTGTGCTTGCAAGAATTTTACTCACTAATTTTGGATGTTATAAACAATGGGAGGAAAGGTAGCTATAGTTACAGGTAATATGGTTAATTATAATTCTTCGAATTCTTCGTACAGGATATAATCATATAAAATCATAGATATATATATATATATATATATATATATATATATATATATATACATTCATTTATATATGTATATATATGTATATATGTATATATATATGTATATAACCTTTGTCAATATATATATATATATATATATATATATATATTTAAATAGGCAAATGGGAAAAACCCATAAAAACAGCAAACGGCCACATAATGCAAAACAATATGAAATTAAAACGGAACAGTAGCGAAAATCCGATCAGAATGACAAAATAAACTAGGCATTCACTGAAATGATATCCCAATATCTGCAGACGGGTCAGTTTCGGCCTTCTAGTCCTCATCAGTGCAGGTAGGGTACAGACCCAAGCGAAACGTTTGACTAGCTTAGGCAGAGCCCAGAGTAGTCAAACGACCACTAATGATTACAGAGCCAAACCAAGGCAACATATATATACAGCCCAGGTGTGAATGCCTAAGCTGGTCGAACGTTTCGTTTGGGTCTGTACCCTAGCTGCACTGACGAGGCCTGGAAGGCCGAAAGGGATCCGTCTGCAGATACTGTATTGGGATTTCTTCCAGTGGATGCTTAGTTTATTTTGTCATTCTGATCGGATTTTCTGTACTGTTCCTTTTGAACTGATAATAACATCGATCGTCATTAAATTTTGCTTAAAATGTAAAACATGTTTTATGTAATTGCAATGGTACATTGATAATTCATGTTTTAATGGTAGGCAGCAGCTCGGGAGTTGGTGAAGCAATCGCCATACATCTAGCGTCATTGGGATACCGTCTGACAGTCGCCGGCAGAAATGCGGAAAATCTGCTAAAAGTAGTGAACAAATGCAAAGAACAAGGCTTAGCAGATAAAGAGGTAAACATTTAATTCAGTGTCAAATGTAATGTAAGATACGGAGAAGCAAATGCACTTCTTGTACATTCAAACAATAGAGAAATTATCTAAGATGCTTCCCTGTATACGAATAATCCGTTACATTTGGGTGAATCCCCAAAGGTTCCGTATTAGGCAAAATATCGCCCATCATTCTTTATTTGTATGCAACTTTTTAAATGCGGGTACTAACTCGTTTGAATAGGCCTACCTAAATAATATACATGTTCGTACCTTATGACATTACATTAGTAATAATGATTAAAATAATAACCAGTTCGGAAAAATGAGAAATATATAAAAATAAACAATAGAACATGAGACGCTTCATAAACGCTAAAAAAATATACTTTTGAAAATGCCGTTCACAGATTCTGTCTATGACTGGTGATGTGAACGATGTAGAATTCCTGAAGAAGATGGCAAACGATACAAATGAATACTTCAATAGGGTAGATCTTCTGGTGAGTGGGGAAATAAAATTGTTATAATTGTATTCAGTGACGAATTTATGGATATTAACATGGGATGGGTGCTAAGAAGAGAGTGATGGGATAGTGCGAGACGCACGCTCAGGGAGTTTTATATGATATAAGGTGATTTTAATTAGGTCAATTATTTTTGGCTCAGTAAATTCTCAGTGTATGTGTGCGACATAGTGGAGGGCGCTGGGGGGACGTATTTGCTAAAATAGGGGATCCCGCTCAGTATGATACGCTAATTGTAATGGGAATTATTATTATCGATTGCTATTACCTAAATTAATGCTGTATTGATATCACATATTATCATTATTAGTATTCTTAATTGTTATTATATGTTATTATTGTTTATTAGAATTGTTATTGTTATTATAATTACGACGGTTGTTAGGTTAACAACGCCGGAGTTGGATGTATGAAGCATCTGTCTGAAACTACGGTAGAGGACTACGATCTTGTCATGTCAACCAATCTCAGATCGGCATTCTTTGCATCACAGGCAGCCTTACCGTTTCTCAAAGAATCAAAAGGTATAATTACATGCACTAAATGCACTAATTTAACACTGCAGAACCATGAAGGGATTAAACTAATTCCTCCATGGCTGAACGACCTTGAAATTACATAGGCAGTTCAATGATTCGGAATAAATGGGGAGGGTATGAGATGAAAAGGCGGTATTTTTAAACTTGTATAATTAGTCATTTTCAAATAATATTGTCTGTCCCTTTTTGACTGTGACTTTCGTCATATTATATTGTTGGGAGAGACTTTCGATAGTATTTAAGTTTATCTTAAGGTCATTCTTAGGCTTGTTTTGTACTCGTTTATTGTATGTTGCCAGAAAATAATAAATGAAATGTGAAATACATCAAAAATGAATAATTTAAAAGATCATTTAATTTGGTACATGCTGATTTTATCTAACAGGTAGTGTAGTGAACGTGTCATCTTGTGGAAGCTTACAACCTGTGAGTATTTTTTTCTTTTTATAGACAACAAAAAATCGAAAAATCAAAATTAAAACAACAGAAGCTAAAACAAAGTGAGTTCTGCCAAATCTGAAAAACCAAACGAAAACAACCGTGCAAATATCATGTACCGGTCTCTCCATGACTGCTCGTATAACAATTGAAAGATTCAACAGTATTTATCATAATGTTATAAAATTCAATTAAACTTTGGTATCTATTTATAGGAAAACAGTGGATCCACAGTAAATTTCCCATTTCTAAGTATCTCACATTCACAGATACCCTGATACTCAGTTAGTATTTTTACCAATAAATGCAATTAATTTATAATATAATGAAAGATACATACGAAGGCCGTAGAGAAAGTTTGTAGAGCAACCAGAATGTAATATTGATTTTAAGAAGTGGGTTCGCATGTTGATGGGGACTGTAAACGTTTCTTAAAGTTGTTTATGTTACGTAAAACTTACAGGCACTTACATAATGTAATATGTTTCTTTTTAGTCTAAATTATGCGTTTACACGATGTCAAAAGCTGGTATGGACCAACTGACTTTGAACACAGCAAAAGGTATTAAACCGATAGCTAATTGAATATTGTCTTAATTAACGAACAATTATGCTTATCAATAGCTTAAATATCAATATTGTCAGTATCTGTGCTGTAAAGTGAGTTAGTTCTTATTGAACAACGTTTTCATGTAACTGTTGAAGTTTTAAAAGAGAGAAGATAAATATTTGTATTGTGTTAGCAATATATTATTTTGAAACAATGAGCTATGTGCATTTGTATCAGTATACAGTAATCTTTTAAAATGTTTATTTTGACAGCATTTGCCGAATATGGAATAAGAGTAAATTCAGTAAAGTAAGATAATTTATTTTCAATGTAATGTAATAAGCATACAATTTTTTTTTAAAATCTAATCTGTAATTGCTATTTTTAGCTTTTGGCTATTAGGTATAGGTATAGGCCCTATTTGGATTTTGCATGATTTTTTATTTTTATTTTTTTATGATTTAAACTGTAATTGAACGATTATATATGCTCCCGACATAATTATATATCAAGTAGTAAAATACGATAAATACCAAATGTCTATTTTGATATTTTCAGTCCCGGAGTTATGGTCACTAATTTATTCAATGCCGCTGATTTTAGTCATAACAAGGTAATGAGCATTGTTGTGTCATTGCAAACAGGATACCCGGCATAAATAGGCGAAGCAATAAATAAATAAATAAATAAATAAATAAATAAATAAATAAATAAATAAATCAATCTATCTATCAATTTATCTATCAACCAGTCGTCCAATCAATTACTTTATCTTAACTCGCCTTAAAAATGTCCGTTCCAAATACACATAAATGATTGAATTAAGTGTCTTTATCGAATGTGATAAGTGCTTCTTTTGAATAATCGCCAAATCAAACGTTGTATATCTTTTTCGCTGTGCATAACTCTCGAATTGAAATTGTACTAAATTGAAGATGTAGGCCTACATTAAATTACCCAGTGTGTGCCTTATATTTCGAATTGTCGAAACATTATTATTGAACAAACTTCACAAGGACTAAATGATGCTAACGTTGTAACAATCTAGGCCTATCCATGGTACCAATTTTACAAGATAAAAAGAACAACATTAGAGGCAACGTTTCGAAATTTGGAATAAACGCAAGTAATCTGAATTATAATATAATTACGAAAGTTTTAAACTCGAGTTTTCTGAATTTTGGGTTCTCAATAGGCCTATTCCTTGGTAATTGTTTGAAACCGATATCATTAAAAGAAGCAAAATACAAAACAAATATATTCAGTCTACACATACCTAACCCACCTCGAACACATTCGTACTATTCTTTTTATTTATGATTTTTTCGGAATTTACGGAAACACTAAGCAAATAATCAATAAAAGATACCACACTGCCATTACATTCGTAATATATAGTACTAAGTTGCATTAAACGAAAAATAGTTTAGTTTCACCGATTTAGCTCAATCTTTACCATTTAGAAAACAAAGTAACTTTGATGCTTTTTTTTTTTTTTTTAGGTTATGGATATGGTAAAATGGATGCACGCACTTCAAAATCGACCTGTAAAATTAGACGAAGTTGCTACAGCAGTTGCATTTTTAGCCTCCGAACAAGCAGCAATGATTACTGGTTGCATTTTGCCGATAGATGGCGGTTTCCATTTAGGAAAGTAGCTTTTGTTTTTAAGAGTGTATGTTCCATTAAAATTGATTTACATTTAAAACTTTAATAAATGTATTTGAAACGTGGATAATTTTGTACGCGTGCATTATAGACCGTGGGTTGAGGCTCCAAAATCGGCTTAGTTTACGAATTCTGTGACCCACCGATCGCACAAAAATGTCAATAATATTTTATTGAAACATAATGTAATTGTCGACAATCGTAAATTTGGGGAAACTGTAACCAAAAATGAGAATTTATCTTCGAAAAAATAATGTCGTTCACGAAAGCAGTACCCAATCACAGCACACTTACCATACCTGTTAAGCATTGATGAGACGCTATTAGCCAATCACAAACGTTCTTGTAAACTCGGTAACTAATGTAAACTATGTCGCGAGGAAAGTGACAATGTGTAGCAATTTGGACGAAAGTTCTCCGATTTTAGTGGAATATTTCAATATGATAGCCTTTAAATAAAATACATTGGTAATAGTTGTAAGATTTTAGAGGTAGTAAATTGCATTTCCCGTCTTCTGTCAACTGTCATTCCGTAGTTTTTTATGCCAAAGTCGACCGTGCTGTACTGATATATGTGTATTGTATTATTTATCTAGGCCTACATATGCATAGTAGGAAGGGCAAGAATTAATGTTCATCGACTTTAAATGAGACAGGAAATTCCTGTAAATATGTAATATATTTTGATTCTATTTGGAATCGCTTTTTTTTTTTCTATAATTAAAAAAATGTACACTTTAAAAGAAAACTGAGGCTGAATTACTTCAAAAAATAAGAACACATTGAGGCTGATGTAAAATTTCAAATGTTTTTATTTGCATGCAATGTAAATAATTAACATTGATCAGTATTTATTGCCATTCCTGTTGATTTTTGTTTAACTGCTTGAAGACCTTGATAATATGGACTGAATTAATGAATAAAAGTAAAGCAATTGATGATTCCAATAAGGTGAAACAAATAAATGTTTAATATACCTCAGTTCAACCAGTTGCATCCCATCAGCACTTTCATTATCTCTCTCATCACTCACTGGGTATATACATTTAACTACACGACAGTAAACACAAGGTTGAAAGACGTTTATGACAAAAATCTGAACTTTTATATGAATATTATTGAAACACTGTAGCACATCATATACCTACACAGAACTGCTTTAAACTAATGATTACAGAGCCAAACCAAGGAAATATACACAGCCCAGGTGTGAATGCAAATAGTGGAATACAAGCTATGTGGCTCGGTTCCAGTAGATACA